GCGCGTGTCCTCACCATCTGTGAGAGAATAAAATAACAGAAGTTTAGTACTCGGATCAACAAATTCGCACGACAAGAATTTCAAGAATATGAAGTATTTCCTAAAGGTTTTGCAGCCTCTCGAGGATAAATACAGACGTCTCCATACCGATCCGCGAGACTCTACTAAACCTGCTCATGACTCGTGAGACCTATGTAATCTAGGCTCTGATACCAACTTGTCACGACTCTAAACCCGGACCCGATTGTGATGGCGCCTCTCGTGAAGACAAGGTCAGCCGACACATTCCCACTTCAATCTTAAGCAATCAAAATAATGCAAGTAATTCTTAAACATAATAAATATCCCAAATAGATATGGTGAAACAGTACAGTTGCGGAAAATAAAACCAACACAGCCCAACATCGGGGTGTCACTAGTTATAAGCATCTATCAAAATACTACAAGTCTGAAGCGTCTACAAAGCTATTACAGAACTACTAACAAGAGAAAGGAAATGAGATAAAGAGGGAGAAATACGTGGTTGCGGACACCGAGCAGCTACCTCGTGCACTCCGAAATCTGTCGGGAGCTCTTAACCCTCGCAAGCAGGATCAGCGGCGCCTGAATATGTGTACAGGGTGCAAGGAATAAAGTGAGTACTCCAACTCAGTGAGTAATAATCATAACTAAATACTGAGAAATATGAAATCACGTAAGGCACATTACAGTCTATAATGAAGCAGTAAAAACTAGTAAAAATTGTGAATCAGTGAAGATATGTAAAGTCATTTTTAGTTCAGTTTAAACTTCATGAAATGCCTTTTTAACAATTAAGCAGGTAAATGACAGGCAACTAGGAAAGATAAACACATAAAGGATCGCCCCTTGGGCAAGATCGTAGAACAACACTAGCCCCTCGGGCTATATCTCACATTACAATGGGTACTCGCGCTCACTGGGGGTGTGCAGACTCCTGGAAGGGGCCCTTATGGCCCAAGCGCAATATCAAGTCATCTCATGTCATCATCACTAGGCTCTCAGCCTCATATCAATAAGCCACCTTGTGGCATACAAATCTAAGGCCCTCGACCTCATAATCATAATCAGTGTTTCCTCACAACATAGGCCCTCGGCCTTACTCAGTCAGAATCTCACAAGCTACTCGGGCAATAGTAAAACATGGTGCTAAGCCTGAAATATCATTTAAAATATCATTTATGTGTTAAAGCAGAGTAAACATGGCTGAGTTATGAAAATAGTAGAATATAGCAGGACTGCGTACAAGTATAAAGTCAAAACAGTGAGAAAATATCAGTAAAAATCCCCTAAGAGTTCAAATAAATGGCACGAGGCCCAAATAGGGCATGCAACCCAAAACATGATGATAAAAAATAGTTTTTAGTCAAATATGTGATAAAATAATCATTCGGGACGAACTACGCCACAATCCCTAACAGTGCACAACTCCACGCTCGTCATCTAGCGTGTGCGTCACCTCAATATAGCACAACGATGTGCGATCTGGGGTTTCATACCATCATGACAACATTTACAATCATTACTCACCTCAATCCGGTCCAAACTCTAGCCCCCGACGCCTTTGTCCCTCGAATCGGCCTCAATTCAAGTCGAATCTATCCAAAATCAGAATCGCGACGTCAAAATATGTTAAGGGAACTAAGCCCAAGCGAAAATAATCAATTTATAGCATAAATCCCGAAATTACCAAAACTCAACCCCCGGGCCCACGTCTCGGAATTCAATAAAATTCACATCAATAGATCTCTTATCTCCCCACGAGTTCATACATATCAAAAGTACCAAAATCCGACCACAAATGGTCCCTCAAATTCTCAAGTCTAGACCTCCAATACCAAGCCCTAGTTTCCCCAATTTTTAACCCTTAAATTATGTTAATTACAGCTCTAATTCGTAAAATAATACCATAGGAACAAGTTTTAGGTCCAAAATCCTTACCTCAATAAAGTTCCCTTGAAATCCTTCTTCAAATCGCCTAAAAAGCTCCAAAAATCGACTTAAAAATGGTGGATTAGCTTAAAAATCGCGAAGGAATGAATTTATATGTTCTGGCCCAGGTATTTCGCATCTGCGGCCCCCTCTACCGCTTCTGCGGTACCGCTTTTGCGGTCCAAGATGCCGCTTCTGCGGTTTTCACTTATTCCCCACTTTCCGCTTCTGTGATGCACCTTCCGCACGTGCGCCATCGCAGGTGCAGCTCCTCAGCCGCTTCTGCGGCTCCAGCCTTCTTAGCCCCTTTTTGCTTCTACGACTCCTAAATCACTTCTGCGAGACCACACCTGCGGTTCCCTAGCCGTAGGTGCGGTTATGACAGCAAATTCCACACTTGAGCTGCCAAAACAAATTTCCAAACTCTCCGTCAACCATCCGAAATCACCCCGAGGCCCCCGGTACGTCAACAAAAAGCACAATCATATCCCATAATCTTATTCAAACTCGTACCAATCTTCAAAACACCCCAAACAATATCGAATCAACCAAAACACATCGGATTCAAGCCTAAGTTGCCAAAATCTTCCGAATTACGCTTTTGATCAAAAGTATACCAAACCACATCTGAATGACCTAAAATTTTGCACACACATCCCAAGTGACCCAGCAGAACTATTGCAACTCCCGGAATTCCATTTTGACCCCTATATCGAAATCTCACCTACCAACCAAAAAATGCCAAAAATCTAATTTTGCCAATTCAAGCCTAAATCTACTCCGAACCTCCAAAACACATTCCGATCACGCTCCTAAGTCTCAAATCACCTCCCAAAGCTATTCGAACCATCAGAACTCACATCTGATCCCTCTAACTCATAAGTCAACATCCGGTTGACTTTTCCAACTTAAGCTTCCTCAAAAGATACTATGTGTCTCAAACCTTACCAAATCCTTTCTGAGCCCGAGCCAACCAACCCGATCACACATATAAATGATAAACAAAGCAATAAGAAACAGAAATGGGGGAAACAGAGCGGTAACTCATGAGACGATTGGCCAGGTCGCCACACCATTATATATTGTAAAGACTTTTGAAATTTGATTAATCTCTAAGGGGTAGTTTGGTATGAGGTATAAGTAAAAATAATACTGGTATAAAAATTTAATACCACATTATACTTTGTTTGGTTATCAAATCTAGTACAAGTTATCCCAGTATTAAAATTAATACTAGGATAACTTATACCTCTCAAGAGGTAGGGTAGTTAAGACTGGGATTATTATCCCCCGATAAAATAGCCAAATTCACCAAAATAGCCCTAAAGTCCTCAAACCCTTTTTCTACATCACTTTTCCCATTCTTTACCCAACATTGGTAAAACAACGCCGCTACAAATTTCTCTACTCTTAGGGAAGATTTCTTCTCTTCTTTAAATGCAAAAGTTATGTTGTCGTGATTGAACAAGACATTATCTTCCATTTTGCTTTTCTCACAAGGTTAAAACTTCTATCGAAATCTATTTCTCTTATTCTTTCTTGTTATTATTTATAAGTTCTCTGTTGCATAATTTGGGTACAGTCCTCTTCTCTACCAAAATAGTAAAATTCTGAACTCTTTTATGAATGCTATGTAATTGTTTTGCTGAATTTTATTTAGCAAATAATTGAAAAAAATCACAGCCTTTCAAACTCAATATGTTGTGCTGAAAAAAGCTGAAATATATGAAAGAGTACCAGCTATATGTGAAAGAGCTGTGACATGTGAAAATCACAGTTGTGGATTCCTTTGCCATTTATTAGCCCTTCTCTCTTTATGTTGATGATGAAATCTTAGTTTAGCTTCTTTCCAAATATTCGTTGGGTTCATTTGTTTCTCTTTATGTACTTGAAAATTATAAATTTTTACTCACATATTCCTTTTTCTAATTGTAATTTTTTTGTATATTAATTCTTTTCATTTTTGTAATGGAAAAATTAGGTTTTCTTATGAATCATCAACTATTATCCGATATTAAATGTGTTATTATCCTTGAGGAGATATTGTGCCAACAATTTCTTGTTGTGTTTATATTTCTTTTAATGACTATTTATGGTCATTCTATAAGAAGATAACATAGAAATAGGCGTGTGATTAGGTACCGTATGAGTGTTTGAATTCCTAAAATTATGTCTCATTTGAATTGTATCATATAAGACAGTAATATTGCATATATTGATAAGTTAAGAATGGATAGAAATTCCTTTCACACTTTAGTTCTCTTAACTAAGAAAATTGGAGGTTAAACTGATAGTAAAAATATGTCAAGTAGTGAAAAGTTAGCGGTGTTCTTAAATATATTAGCTCACCATGAGAAGAATAGATCATTTAAGGTTGACTATGTTAGATCGGGTTGGAACGTAAGTCAAGCTTTCAATGAATACTTGAGAGCTGTTCTAAGACTAGCTCCATTGTTACTTGTTAATCCCAAACCAGTGCTTGAAGATGAGAATAAAGATCAATGGAGATGGTTTAAGGTATGTGAAATTTCTTTTGAGCATATATTAATTTATTTAAAACTAAAAAAACATAATCATACGAAAAGAAATTAATAGTTTGAGATAATGTAAATTGATTTTATAGGGATGTCTAGGTGCAATTGATGGTACTTTCATTCAAATTAGAGTTCCATCCGAGTACAAACCAAGATACAGAACAAGAAAGCGAGGAATAGCAACTAATGTACTGAGAGTTTCTGATAGAAATCATAATTTTACTTATGTATTACCTGGTTGGGAAGGATCAGTTGCCGATAGTCGTGTATTACGAGATGGTATAGTGCGAATGAATAGTTTGAAAATCCCTGAGAGTATGCCATACATATGGTTATATAGTCAGTTATATCACAAAAAAATGCTACATAAAAGTAACTAAATTTTATGTTTATATTATAGGAAATTATTATTTGTGCGATGGAGGATATACAAATGGAAACGATTTTCTTTTACCTTACAGAGGGTATATATATTGGTTAAGGAATTGGAAAGGTGACAATCCGCCACCTCAATGTCGAGAAGAGCTTTTCAATATGACACATGCTAGGGCTCATAATGTTATCGAAAGAGCATTTGGTCTCTTGAAAGGGCGTTGGGGAATTCTTAGAAGCTATTCGTGGTACGCAGTTAAGGTTTATAACATGATCATTAGTGCTTGTTGTTTGATGCACAACTTTATTCGTAGAGAGATGGAAGTGGATCCCTTAGATATTGATATGGAAGAACAAGTGGAGTATCAACATGACAACATTAATGTTGTTGAATCATCTCAGGAGTGGACCACATGGAGGGATGAGTTGACTCAATCAATGTGGAATGCAAGTCTAAACAATTGATTGTTTCAAAACGTTCCATGCTTGTATTATATTTTGTGGTATTTGGGTATTTTTCTCTTTAGCTTTTTGTATGATTGTAAGGTGTATCAACTTTCAGTTTTTTGTGATTATAAGAAATAGTTACTTTGATTTTTGTGAAGATTACTTATGTTTAGTTAGCGTTTCTTTTTTGATAGTTTTATACTTCCATATGTGCTTTTTATGTGTAAAGTGTATGGATTTTTATTTTTGTGATGCTGAGTAATATTGGAGATACTTATGCTTTTTGTGGAGATAACTAATACTTATGATGATTTATTTCACAAGATTATACAAATATAATGAATAGATAGGCAGAAAATTCAAAGATATTGTCAATAAGATCAAGGAAATCAACACCTTCTTCCCGAAGGATCTGGACTCCAGCAGAAAAAAGTTCTCTTTAGATGGTTTAAAAAAATTGTGTGTTGATGGTTGGCAAGCTGATAATGGAACCTTTAGGCTAGGATTCTTGATGTAATTAGAGCATTATTTACATGAACGCCATCCTAGTAGTCAATTGAAAGGTGAGGCACATGTTAATAATAAAGTAAAAGCGTAGAAGTTATGTTATTCAAGCATAAGTTTATTAAAGAGTCGAAGTGGTCGGGATTTCAATATGGTGATGGAACCATAATTTTGATGATCCAAAATAGTGGGATAACTTTATAAAGGTAATTTATACTTTGCTTAAATTATTAGAATATTGTTACTTCATATAGGAATTTTTCTGAGTTCCCATTATAGTTTATAACTAACGCATATGTCATTACTTTGTTTCTTTCCTTATTTTTTCTAGATGGATCCAAAAGCAAAAAGCATGAAAAATAAAAAAAATGGCCAATGTTTGAGGATTGGGAGGAAATTTTTGGCAAGGATAGAGCGATGAGAGAGTTCGCAGAAGGGCCACTAGATGCTGCCGAGGATATTCTAAGGAGTCAAGCTTCAGGATTTTCTAATGACATCAGCTTAGGATGGCCTATTGATGTTGATGAAGAAGAAGAAGAATATGATGCTGGTGATGGACCTAATATAGCTACTGGAGAAGCTAAAAATGAAAATGCTTATGCTGGACCTAGTTTTACTAGAGCATCTGAAAAGGAAGATGCTAGAGCATCTGAACATGAATGTGCTGGAGCATCTAAAAATGAACATGCAGAATTCCAACAAAATCATAAACAAAGTGAGCATGCTAATAGGTCCTCTTCTAATTTCAATGAAAAAGAGAAAAGTAAGAAAAGAAAAAGGGTTGTGGAGGATTCTAGTGAGACATTTCTTAAGGGTATGACAAAAGTTATGAAAAACTTTATTGAAAGTCAAGATAAAAGAATGGGTGCCTTGATTGATAAGATTGGGGATCGTGACCGATCCGATATTCGTGGTGAAATTTATTCCATCCTTGAGTCTCCGGCATTTGAGTTGTACTCTATACAAGAACGTATCAAAGCTACAATGATTCTCTGTGAAGATGTCAAAAAGATGGAATTATTTTTACGTATGGGTGAACTTGAGTGCCAAACAATTATGCTCATGATTATCAATGGTAAACTTTGAAGTATGGTAAAGTTGCGTATATGTGGTGGTACTAGTTTGATAGTTTTTGCTCGACTAACAACTTTAAAGTTAAACTGTAGTGCTATTTTTGATACCTCGGATTATGTCCATACTCTTTTGTTTATGACTGGTGGGCACGAGGATGCTATGTTTTTTGTGTAACTAATATCTATCAAATAGCTTAACTCTAGTTTAAATGTTAAGCGCATATGTAATTATATACTATGACAATTCTTCAATTTCTCTTTTTAGCTTAACTATGTTTTTGATGCCTCTAAATTCTATAGTTTTGGTTATGTTATGGCCAACTTGTGGATCTTGGTTTGAACCTCTGATGTGGAGTTTTTTTTAAATCACAACACATTCCATAAAAATTGAAAAGACCAAGAAATCAATAATATTATACATGGCAATTAGCTATCTTACATCTGAAGGAAACAGAGAATTAAGTTAGGAAGAAGATTTAGAAGAAGAAATCAGCAGATATATTTCAAACAATTGAAAACTAGAGCCTTAAAAAATTATTTAGTACTTGTTGATGCTTAATTGAAAATTGACGTATGTCAATTGGATAAAGGAGTAAGAAGATGGAGGATATCTTTGTAAACAAACAACATCTTCTTAGAAATTATGCAATGCATGTCATTTTTAATACAACATACCAAATAGTGGATAAAAAACAATACCAGCATAACTAATCCCAACATAAATTATCCCAACATAACTTATCCCAGTACAAGGGGTATTCAAACCAAACGACCCTAAAAGAATTGAATTGAGTGTATCGACAAATAGAAACCCTCCTAGCTAGAGGTGTTGCCTAGAAAACAATTAGAAAAGAGCTGATTCAAATTCACTTAGATTTTGGTAAATATCGATTGCATTTTGTTCGGGATTGACTCGATTTGTTATAGTGAAACGCTCAATTAGACTCGATAATGTAATAATTTTGGTCAGATGCAACTTGACTAAACTTGAATCATTAGCTTGCCACCCAAGCCTATGTCCATCCACGCAAAAAGGAAGAAATTTTAAAAAGTGTATGCCTTTGTCCCAAAAATAGTAATATTGGCCCAAGTAAAAGTTAGTTTTGAAGACTCACAAAGGAACTCAAACATGAACCAGGTCCATCCTAGTAGAGTACAGATATGGACAGACTTAAGCATGTGAGATGCATGTGAAGGAGATAAACTTATCTTGAAAGAAGTAATATCTCCTGATCTTGGTCGAAAAGGTTGCATATTGGAAAAGTAGAAGGACTCCTTACTCAAAGAGAACACGGTTTAAGAGAAGGATGGAGTTAGAGGTTGAGATCAACTAGAACTCTTCCACCAAGGAAGAGTAGCATCAGAATTCTAGTCAATCTCTATTTACTAACTCTATAAATATCAGTGTAGTTCTCTTTTACATGTAACGCACATAAGCAGAAGTTAAACATGAATTTAGAGCAAAATAGCAAGGTAATTTTACAAGCTATTTGTGTGTGATTCAAGCGTGCAAACCTAAAGCTACTTGAACCAGATAGAAGAACCAGTTCCAAGTATCTGTCTTTTATTCTAGTTCAATTGTAGTAGGTGTTTTCATATTGTACCTTTCAGCTTTATCTAGAAGTAATTGTATTAGGTACTCAGAGTTTTTCAAGTTAGAGTTAACTTGAAGTTGTCGCAACAGTTGAGGTTATGTGCTACAATGGGATTAGAGTTAGTCCTAGGTTTACAAAAGATTGTTTGTAAATGCAGTTTCCGCTAAGTGATTTTAGTGGAGAGTTTGGGAAAGTCTTATTAGAAAGTAGGTCGTGGTTTTTTCACCTTTTGAGCCAGGTGTTTTCCACGTAAAATCTTTGTGTTCTTTAATTTATGTACTTATTATTCTGCAATAGTAGTAGTTGGAACACATAGAAGAACCAGGTCCTTCCATAATCAGGTTAATCAAAAAATTAGATACCACACAAATCATCCCCCTTCTTGTGTGGTATTGAAGTATAAAATATTAATTGGTATCATAGCATATTATCCTTGAAGAGGCTAACACCTTAGGAATAGATCAAGATGAGTGCACTACCTGGAAACTGAAAAGGACAATCCGCTGCTAGGCCTTCACTCTTCAATGGTCGGTACTACTCCTCGTGGGAAAAGAGGATGAGAGATCACATCATCAGAGAGGATTATGAACTATGAGACATTGTTACTGATGGTCCCTCAGCTACCATGAAGAAGAATGCTGAAGGAGTGGATGTGCCAAAAACTAGAGCTGACTGCAATGCTAAGGACTTGAAGAAGTGGAAAAAGAATGCTAAGGCCAAGAAATGACTTGTGTGTGAACTTGGTCCAGACGGGTACAACAGACTTCAAAGTTGTACTACTGCTAAGAAAATTTGGGACATTTTGCAAGTGGCTCACGAAGGAACTCCTCAAGTGAAGAGATCAAGAGGAACACTGTTGTACTCTCAATATGAGAATTTCACCATGAAGGAAGGAGAAACCATCTAAGAGATGTATACAAGGTTCACAATACTAACAAATGAACTTAAGTCTCTTGGAAGGATTATCCTCGAAGAAGACAAGGTTGAGAAAATTTTGACAAGGGTTTTGCCAGTTACTTGGGAAAGCAAAATCACTGCTATTCAGGAATCAAAGAATATTGCCACTCTTAAGTTGGATGAGTTAATTGGAAATCTCACTGCCTATTAACTTAGAAGGAAAACCATGAAGATGGATGCACCTAAAAAGGAAAAGAGCCTGGCTCTCAGAATCGTTGAAGGTGAAGATCTTGAGGAGGATGAAATGGCTAAGATTACGAGGGATTTCAAGAAGTATCTAATGAGAGGAAAGGGTTCATCATGAGGTGCAACTTACAACAAACCAAGGGTCCCTGAAAAACAGACCAACGAGGGCTGTTACAAATGTGGTAATACTGACCACATGATCAAAAACTGTCCTCAATGGGAAATTGAATGGAAGAAGGAAAGGGCTGAACAAAGAAATAGAAAGAAGGAACAGGTTCATCCCAATAAGAACAAAGGATCAACAAAGGCTATAGTTGCTGGTTGGGAAGAGAGCTCAAATGAGGATTCAGAAGATGAAGATGGAGATGAATAAGCACTTATGGCCATCGGAGAATCTGATAAGGAATCAGAGGTAAGTGTGGTTCATCTCAAAGACAAGATTAAATTTTTATCTAAAGAAAGTCTATCTGAGTTGCTGCTAGATTTCATTGATGAATATGAGGTCATTAACAATGAAAAGGAACAACTGTCTAAGGAATGTGCAATCTTGAAATCTAAGTGCAAAAATCTGAAACTGAGGGCTAGTTAAAGTGATAGTAAAAATGATGAGTTGATGAACCAGGTTCTTGAACTTGATTCCACTATGCTAGAGCTTAGATCTAAAAATTTAAAACCGAAATTAGGAACAGGTAAAAAGAAAGGTGATCGCACACAGCTCACCTTAGAAGAAAATCTAGGAAAAATGAAGGATGAGTTGTATAAAAAGGATGAGCAGATAAGAGTCCTAAAAGAAGATCTAACCAAGGTTAAACATGAACTAGACAGAACTTGTAAATGGAATAAGTCCTCTGATGTACTATCATGGCTACAAGAACACTATAGTAGCAATAAGAGAGGACTTGGCTATGGGACCCCTGCACCTAAGTGGGATCCCAAAAGTGAGTACATCACACTTTCCCGAGAACAAAATTTACACACACTGTGGTAAGACTGGTCACTACAAAAGTGAATGTAATGCAAAAGAAAAGGCTAGTCAAAAGAACAAAACTTTTGTTCAAGGGAAAAATTGGCTGTCAGGATGGACTAAAAAGAATTTAATTAACCCTTTTTTTCCTATAAAAATGGACCCAAACTAGTTTGGGTTCCTAAGACTAACCCCTGGTTTCCTTTTGCAGGTCCAAGTGAAGGGGAACAGCCAAATATGGTACATGGGTAGTGGCTGCTCAAAGCATATGGCTGGAAGCAAGAACCAGTTCCTTTCACTTGAAGACCTAAAAGTAGGTAATGTCTCCTTTGGAAATGGTAAGAAAGGTGAGATCATTGGAGTTGGAAAGGTAGGTAACACAGACTCACATTCCATTGAGAATGTCTACTTGATAGATGACTTGAAATATAGCCTTATCAGTATACCTTAACTGTATGACAGAGGTAGCTTGGTAGCATTCACCTCTACCAAATGTTTTGTGATAAATTTTGCCACTGACAAGATTATTTTGTAGGGAAAAAGAGTAAACAATATATACATTATAGATCTATCCACTCTTTTAGAAAATGAACTCACTTGCTTAAGTGTGTTGGGCAGCGATCCCCTCCTCTATCATAAAAGACTTGGACATGCAAGTCTAAGTCAACTCAACAAATTAGTCTCTAAGGACCTGATGATAGGGTTGCCTAACATCAAGTTTAAGGAAGACAAAGTTTGTGAGGCTTGTGCAAGGAGGAAGCAGGTAAGATCCTCTTTTAAATGCAAGAAAGTGATAAGCACGACCAGGTCGATGGAACTAGTTCATATGGATCTTTGTGGTCTAATTAGAACATTAAGCAGATGTGGTAAAAAATATGTGATGGCGCTTGTTGATGATTACTCTAGGTTTACTTTGACATTGTTTTTAACATCTAAGGATGAAGCATTTGACATATTTACTTCTTTTGTTAGAAAAACTCGAAAACAACTAGCTAATCAACTTGCATCAATTAGGTCTGATCATGGAACTGAATTTAAAAATGCTAAGTTTGTTGAATTTTATTATGAGCATGGAATAGATCATAATTTTTCTGCCAATAGGACTCCATAACAAAATGGAGTTGTTGAAAGAAAGAATAGGACACTTGAAGATATGGCGAGGACTATGCTTCTTTCTAGTAAACTACCCCATAGCTTCTGGGCAGAAGTTGTAAACACTACATGTTACATCATCAATAGGTGCATGACTAGATCTCTTGTAGAGAAAACTCCCTATGAGTTACTTAAAGGGAGAAAACCAAATATATCCCATCTTAGGGCATTTGGATGCAAGTACTTTGTGCACAACAATGGAAAGGACTCCCTAGGTAAGTTTGATCCCATAAGTGATGAGGGAGTATTCTTGGGATATTCTTCACACAGCAAAGCTTATAAAGTGTACAACAAAAGAACTATGTGTTTAGAAGAAAGTGTACTTGTAATTTTTTATGAAACTAACATTCTTTCTGAGAGACAGCAACATGAAGATAAAGCTATTGGACTGGTAAAAGGTTTAAATGAAGTCACAGCCC